AGAGGACAAGGCCTACATGCACTGAGTGGACATACAGGTATACATACAGACACACGACAAGCGTTTCACCCCACTTATGGTAAGGGATTTCACAATATCATATTGTGGACAAATAAATGTAAACAATATTATTATTTTCTTAGGGCACATCCTATCCCTCTATACATGGGGTGGTTGGATGGTAGCGTCTGGCTCTCAGGATAAGACTGTGCGTTTCTGGGACTTGCGTGTGCCCAGTTGTGTGAAAGTAGTTGGAACTGCCATGCACGGAACTGGTGTGTTGCTTTTTTCCATATTTTGTGTTAGATGTATACAGTGGCCCCAAAAAGTATTTGGACACTTAAACCACTAGTCAGTTTTAAAAGTTTTACTTTAAGTTCTTTAGGTTATTTCATATGGCATTTTACAAAAGAGAAAAACACAGACTGCACTGGGAGTGCATAAGCACAAAAAAGCACAGAGGTGGAAACATCAAAGTCAGGGGCTGTTTTTCTTAGTGTTGTCTGTGAGCTTATGTGTGACTGTGTTCATTAATAAGATCATGTAGAAGTGTGCAAGGATATTTTGAATGCAAACCTGCAGAAGTCTGTAAAACATACAGTAGCTCAAATGGCAGAAATGGAAGTGGAATAAATGTTGTTTGGTTTGAACTTGATACATTTTTAAAGGCACCAATGTCCAGATACTTTTGGGCCTGTTAATCTGCTGAATGTTGAGGCCAAAGAAAGACAAAGTTCTACCCTGTTGAAAAATCAGGAAGTGCAGTGGCCTCAGTGGCTGTGGACCCTAGTGGGCGGCTCATGGCCACAGGACTGGAGGACTGCCGCTGCATGCTGTATGACATCAGAGGGGGTCGAACAGTGCAGGCGTATCGCCCCCACACCAGCGACATCCGCTCTGTCCGCTTCTCCCCAGGAGCACATTACCTACTCACTGGTTCCTATGACAACAAAGTCATGATTACCGATCTACAAGGTAGGCAGAACAATCTGATATTACAGACCCTGCTTATTATCTTTCAGAGCAGGTCAAGTGGCAGTAGGGGTTCCATAAATGCTTCTAAACCATAAAGGCTGATTATCAAATTATTGGCTTCAGGGTAGGAAACAAAAAAGAAGCCATTTTGGCTCTCACTGACTGTAATTCAGGGACATTTTATACACAATAGCAAGTACTTTGTGAAAATGTTCAACAGCATTTTAACTTGATCAGAATTATAATGAACTATTTTAATTTTTATTTAATTCTAAAAAAGCAGCTTATAGGTTACATTTTGTTTTATGGAAAAACATACAGAATTGAGACCTTTTCATTTGCAGCAGGTTCTCATAAAATATAGCACTCCATTTTATCTGCGGAAGCTTGCCAAAGGTTTTAAATATAGGGCCATTTTGCCTCAATTTTGCTTAGGCATGTACCAATATGGGAAATGTGGGTCGATGTCAGTATCTGACATTTTCTTGTACATATCTGTGCCAATACTGATGTGTAAACTTTTTATATAATAAGTAGAAATTGAGACTACACCCACCTGGATTAGCATTACAGAGAAATATACCATTTATTTCTGTAGTGTTACAAATGAAGTTAAATAAATAAAATGCAGACCTTTTAGTGCAGTAGCCCAGCGCCGCCTAAACCTTCTGCTCTTCCAGAGTTTAATAAAGGTCATCAAATATCAGTTCAAATATCATGAAAACCTGATAATCTGACCGATGCCAATATTTTTTATTTTAAGCTGATATCTGCCAACACCAATATGACTCTGATATCATCGTGCATCCCTAATTTTGCAACCTCATACATCAGAAATCTCCAACATCATTTTTAAGTATGTTGCCCTCTCAGAAATGATAACATGTCTAACTGTTAGAATGTTCTCTGCTTTTGGAACTTCTTAGTTTTTCTGTCCACAGGGGACCTAACCAAGCCACTCCCAGTAACAGTGGCCGGCGAACACAAGGATAAAGTGATCCAGTGCCGGTGGCATACCCGAGACCTCTCCTTCCTGTCCTCTTCTGCTGATAAGACTGTCACACTTTGGGTCCACAACCCTTAAACCTCTCCCTCAAACTAAGAATGAAAAGCTGTACAGAGAAAGCACAAATCAGTCGGATGCCCCATATTCCCTGACAAACTGCCCACATTCATTCAAAAGGACCACTGACCGACAAAGGAGACAAGTTACGGTATGTTTGTGTCTTTGCTTGTCTTTGTAATGTCACTGCTTTTTATCGTTAGTAGTGTTCAGACTGAAAGTACCTTTCCTTGTAACTGGAATATTAATTGGTCACTTTTCAAAAAAAAGCAATGAGTCTTGCATGTTGCTGCTGATTAGGAACAAGCTGTCTGCTGTTTTCTGTAGCACAATAAATAAGAACTGGCTTACTTTGTTGACCAAACTAATGAGGTATTTCGTTGGTTATGATGCAAAACAACCCAGATTATTTAAAATATGTGAAATATTTTGTGCCTTGAGTTTGGTAATTCATAGTTAGGCTTATAAATTTGAATGTGTTGTAATATGGCCTTTCATGTAAACGGACTAAACAAGCTACTGGCTCGTCACATGTAGTGTATCTGCTTTACTGAGTAATGGGCATGTTGCTACAGTTGATTTCAGCTCAGACTACAGAACAACTGATCAGTGTGTTTTAACACAAAACCATGGCATGTATGTTCAACTGAAATGTGAAGGAAAAAAAATAATTTTGTCTTTAAATGTCTATACTGTAAATATTTTGGGTAAATATGATGTTATCTTCATCAAAATGTAGATAAGATATTTAAAGGTTTTATGGTATATTTATTTATTTTTGTTGTTCTCTTCCTTGGCTCTAAAAAACAAATGTTGCACATGCTGTGAAGCACCTGATGTATTAAGTGAATTTAAAATGTAAAGGGTTTTTTTCCTCTTTTTTTCATTAAACGTTGATGCTTTCAAAGAATGGCAATAAAGATAAAATAAAACTGAAAAGCATGATTCTGTTTGATTCAATACAAAGTTCTTCTTCCTTTTAAATTGAAAACTGGTTCTGATCGTCATGTACTTATACTGAAATTAAAATGCATATGTGGTAGATATTATATATGTTAATTTGTAAAAGCAATTATTAAAAAAGCCCAGTTTCCATTGATTAAATACAAGGGCTGTGTCAGAATAATTCAGTGAAGCTTTTTATTTGTATGATATGTTTTAATTATTTTACCTTATTTTATATACAATGTAAGAATATCTGTGCATCTGTTATTGTACATTTTATTATTAACATTACACAAACCAAGCATGGTCATGCATAAATTCAAGTATGACAATTACAAAAAAAATCATAAACAAACGAAGAGTGAACAATACAATATTTTTGGAAAAAATTCAGAAAAAAAATTTAATAGAAAAAAGGGAAGGGTGAGACAGTTACATTTGTCTAGGGTCTGTCTATAAAACAAAATTCATAAAATATCGATTTTGCCTGATTTGTCATCCATATGGATACACCGGCTAGTCAGCCCTGCTAATTCATGTCGTGAGGCCACTTACTACAGAGCAACAAAAGTCAAGGAAAGCATATAAGAAAGATTGTTTCTCTGAACTGTTTGGAGGCAACCAATGTGTAAATTCGCTGAAATAAACTTTTAAATAACTGGTCTGAAGTGTCTGCTGCTCTGAACGCTCCACTGCGTGAAGTGCAAATCTGCGCTTTCGCGAATGTCAGTGACCTCACCAGAGCCGGTTTATGAGGAGCCTGGCCACTTCCTATTCCCCCCGTTATAACAAAAACAGGACTGCTAAACAGCAGAGGGCGCCCGCGAGCGAGTCGTCAATGAATGGGAGTAAATGGAACTCAACGGTTAAAATCGAAAAGTTAAAATAGTTTCTAATCACTCGCCCAGAATGTTTCTTTAATTTTAGAAAGTAGAAGGATGTATTTCATTAAAAACCAAAGAAATTTTACCTATATATATTTCCTTTTTTCTACAGCAAACGGCTTTTGGGCCGTAGAAGGCGGGCATTAGCGCTAGAGCGTGATGATTGATTGGCGAGCGGAGCAGCTCATTGGTTGTTCGCGCTCACTGACGTCATGAACATACACGAGGTGCCGTTTTAAACTCCTATAACTCGAGTTTAAAAGCTCTAAAAAATATAACAGCGGCGTTAAAATGTTTTATGATATTCATTGCTCAGGAAATTATTGCATTCTTTTACATTAAAAATGTTCAAGTATTTATAAACTATGATTTTGCTCAAATGCTCCATATCAACCCAGTCATTTTGGACTCACTCAGGAGCGCCCTCTAGCGTTTGAGAAAACCGGAAGACATTACAGAGTGGTCATTCTCCTCTCTACAAGTTCTCTGACCTCACTCTCAATGCCGTAAACCAGCAAATAACGGCGTGAAGAAATTGTGCTGGAATAAATAACAAACTGACAGCGTATTTTTGCTTTAACCCGGAATGTAAAGAGTTCGTTACTGAAATACATTTACATAAAGTTCAATCTTCAAAATTCTCCACTCTGAGCCACAAATGTGTGAAAGACCAGCTAGGGAATGAATTCACCGTAGCACAGGCACTCACGTTAAAAGTCGCCGATTTCCGGTAGTGTTTACATTGTACTCTACTTCCGTGACTCCTCAAATGACAGCCGCTGGAAGATTTTGCAGAAAATTGGATTTACGAACGTTTATTTTAAATTAAGACATCGTTGTGATATCTTAATTAAAGGCACGGTGCTTTAATTTCAAGAGGAGTTGGTTTTCGTTTTATTCGTTGCTCGAGTAAGGTAGCTAACGTTAGTTGACCAACTGGCGTATGCTATCGTTCACTCGCTCCATAGCCAGCTTTCCTAGTCTCAGTTTGGAAGAACACACTCGAATAACTTCAATGTGTGTGATTAAGGCTCGAATATGGTACATTTGTTAACACTGACTTTGGCCAGTTGTTAATGTCTTTGCAGAGTGAAATTTGACTCTGTTGCTCAGAATGCCAAGTTTTGTTGATGGTTCTGGAGGCGTTCGCTTTGTAGAACCAGTCTTAGCTTAAGGAGACGAGCTATAAATATATTTTTGTTAACGTTATACAAGTAATCATAATGCGGTTATCGGGCGTTTTGCTTTTGTCGGGGTATGGGGTTCTCCTTGTTGGGAGCTTTTTTGTTATCGCTTATGGAAACTCCCACGACGATGAATGGATCGACCCGTACGACATGCTGAACTACGATGCGTCCTCGAAAAGCATGAGGAAGCCTGCTGAGGTAAAAGGTGACGTGGCGGCAGCTTGAACCTTGTACATTTTGCTGGAACATCCTGCAGACGGTCATTTATATTGTCGTGTTTTACAGGCCAGCAGCTATAGTAATGTGCCCACTAAAAGAAGAGAGTACACTCCGGATTCTAGCTCGGGGACCCAGTGTCCAGACATCACTGAGTGCACCAACAAGGTGAACAGGTTACAGACAGAGGTAAGTCTGATAGGCAGTGCAGATACCCACATCCACTTCAAGCATTTTATTGTGCTTTCATTCACCTGCCACCTCATGAGGTCCACCTACTCAAGTGGTCACCAACCCTCTTCCTGGAGATCTACTTTCCTGCAGAGTTTAGTTCCAACCTGCATCTAAAGTGCTTCTCTCCCCCTTTCCTAACACTAATACATCTGATCCAGCCATTCAGGGACTTCTAGTAGTGGAGCAGGTGTGGAAGATCATGGTTGGAACAAGACACTGCAGGAAGGTAGATCGCCAGGAGCATTGTTTCTTCCAAAATAAAGGGTATACTATAGAGTTCCCCTTAGCTGCAGTAACATTCTCTTACTTTTCTGAGAAGGTTTTACAATATGTGTTGGAACGTTGCTGTGAGGATTTCATGACAGCCACAAGAGCATTAGTGAGGTCAAGTACTGATGCTTGATGACAACTCCACTGACTCACAGCCCAATGCTAGGGAGATTTGTATCACTCTAGCCAATGGTCAACTTTGGACAAGGTCTCCAGAGCATCCCATTCTATTGGCTTTAAAATAATGATCATCTGACTCTAGGGACACGGCATCATGACTTTATTAGATCAGTGGTCTGTACCATTGCTCGCTCCACCCATGCTTTCTGGATTCGCTTTGTATTTATAACCCAGCTGTACTGTACCGCACTGCACACCACCAAGGTGGACCCACAAGGTAGGGCTTTCTAATGAAGTGGCTGATGAATGTATGTATCTAATGATTTCAGCTCAGTTTTATTATTATTAAGAACACCTCATAATTGTAAAACTATACAATATTAAACAAAATTAAAAAACAAAATATGTGCAAAATTAGGATCAATCCAGTCTCTCCGGAAAGTGAAACGTCTTTATGCCTTGTCAAACTGCTCTTTTCCTCAGACTGCCAGACCACTTTCAAGTGCAACTGCAGAAGGGGTCACCAATAACAAATAGGAGAGATTTTAGACAGAATAGAAAGTAATTTTAAGTTAGAGGCAGAAAAGGATATAAATAATGTGACCATTATCAGTGGTTAGTATAAAGGAAACTAAACTCTTGATCTTGCGGGGCAGAAAAAAAGTTATTATTATTATTTATTTATTTATTTATTTTATTTTTTTTTTACAGGTTTGTCTATTGTTGTCTTTGTTGTCTATTGTTGTGTATGTTGATTTAATTTATTAAACATTGTCAATTTTTTATTGCTTTTGGGGAGTTAGGTGTAGACAGAGTGGATCATATGATATTACTGATCATCAGTTTTGTTCATCACAAAGATTTTTGAATATTCTCATAATCATATCTTGTTTTATGCCTTACAGATTGAAGAATACAAAAGGAGGATGTCAGTTTCGTCACATCAACCAACATGTAATCCAGTGTTCAAGCGCTTTCTCTCAAAGCTTCTGAAGGAAATTGACAAACTTGGATTGGTATGCTTTTTTCATAGTAGCTATGAAAGCCCTTTACTTCTTTTTTATATTTCAATGTTGTTTACCCTTGGCTTGTTTGTACTTCCAGCCCACTACCGTGAACACTGACATGCACTATGATGCTGAGGTGAAGCTGTCCAAACAGATGGTGGCAGAGATCCAGAAGCTTCTGAATGATGAGAGCAGCTGGAGAACTGGGGCTCTGGATGATGCTCTTAGTCAAATACTTATCAACTTTAAACTCCATGATTACGAGGCCTGGAAGTGGCGCTTTGAAGACACATTCAGTGTGGAGCCGGAAACGGTCATTAAGGTGAAACTCCTCAGAAATGAAAAGGCCTTTTGTTCAGCAG